AAGTATGATGCTAACTGTAGGGCTTTTTAAAAAAATGTCCTTATTAGGTTAAAGAAGGTCCTTTTCTGCTTTCCTGAGAGTTTCTGTCACACATGGATGTAGAATTTTGTCAGATGCTTTTTTGGCATCTCTTGTAATGATTATATGATTCTTCTTGTCCAGTTTGTTGATATGGTGAGTTGAGTTGATTGAACTGTGAATGTTGAATTAACCTTTAAGTTTCAGGATAAATCCCACTTGCTCATAAAGTATCATCCTTTTTATTTTTATTTTTTTAAATTTCTTTTTAGTGTTCCAGAATTCATTGTTTATGCACCACACCCAGTGCTCCATGCAATACGTGCCCTCCACAATACCCACCACCAGGCTCACCCAACCTTCCACCCCCCTCCCCTCCAAAACCCTCAGTTAGATCCTCAGAGTCCACAGTCTCTCATGATTCAACTCCCCTTCCAAATTCCCCAGTTCCCAACAGTGAACCCTCTTACACTGTTGGTGGGAATGCAAGTTGGTGCAGCCACTTTGGAAAACAGTGGGGAGATTCCTTGAGAAACTTAAAATAGACCTACCCTATGACCCTGCAATTGCACTATTGGGTATTTACCCCAAAGATACAGATGTAGTGAAAAGAAGGGCCATCTGTACCTCAATGTTCATAGCAGCAATGGCCATGGTCGCCAAACTGTGGAAAGAACCAAGATGCCCTTCAACGGACAAATGGATAAAGAAGATGTGGTCCATATATTCTATGGAGTATTATGCATCCATCAGAAAGGATGAATACCCAACTTTTGTATCAACATGGATGGATCATTTATATATAGTTGGGTTTAATTTACTGGAATTTTATCAAGAATGTTTGCATCTATGTTCAGGTGGGATATTGGTGTATAGTACTATTTTTGTCCTTGTAATAACTTTTATCTTGTTTTCATGTCAGTGTCATGCCTACATCAATGATTTAGTTGGGAAGTAATCCCTCCTCTTGATTTTTTTTTTCTGAAATGTTTGGTAGAATGTTTGACAGAATTCACCAGTGAAGCCATCTGGCTCTGAAGTTTTCTTTGTGACAAAATTTTAACTATAAATTCAAGTTCTTTAAAAGATATAAAAGGGGGACACCTGGGTGGCTCAGTGGGTTAAAGCCTCTGCCTTCTGCTCAAGTCATGATCTCAGGGTCCTGGGATCGAGCCCCACGTCGGGCTCTCTGCTCAGCAGGGAACCTGCTTCCTCCTCTCTCTCTGCCTGCCTTTCTGCCTACTTGTGATCTCTGTCAAATAAATAAATAAAATATTTTTTAAAAAAGATATAAAAGGGGCATCTGGATGGCTTAGTCATTTAGCCTCTAACCCTTGATTTCAGCTCAGGTCATGATCTCCAGGTCATGAGATCGAGCCTCATGTTGGGCTATGCACTCAGTAGGGAGTCTGCTTTAGATTCTTTCTCTCTGCCCCTCCCTCTGTGCGGTCTCTCTCACTGTCTCTCTCAAATAAATAAATAAATAAATAAATGTATATAAGAATATTCAGGTTATCTTTATCTTCTACATTGAGCTTTGGTAATTTGTGTCATTCAAAGAATTCATCTGTTTCATCTAGATTGCTAACTTAAGTGGCATAAAGTTATTCATAATATTCCTTTGCTGTTACTCTTTAAAATGCTCTCTGTTGTCTCTAATATTGGGAGTTTGCATCTTCTCTCTTTTTATCCTTGCTACTTTTGTAAGAAGTTAATCAATTTTATTGATTTTGTTGAAAACAGATTTGGTCTCACTGATTTTTTTTCCATTGATTTTCTATCTTCAATTTCACTGACTTCTTTATTATTCCTTTCTTCTGTTTGCTTTTGGTTCATTTTGCTCTACATTTTCTAGTTTCTTGGTTTGAGACTTTCTACCCTTTCTAACATAGGTACTTTAGTGATAAAAATTTCCCTTTAAGTACTTCTTTAGCTGAATCCCAATGGTTTTGATATGCTGTGTTTTTATTTTCATTTAGTACAAACTATTTTTTAATTTCCTTTTGATTTTTTCTTCAACCCACAGGCTATTTGTAAGTTACCAGTATACTACAAGTGGTGGTCTCCTGCTGGAATTGTGTAAAATGATTTTCATATATACACATTTATATTTTTATTTTGTTCTTTTTGGAACTTTGTGAATGTTTTCCAGTTTTCTACATTAAGTATGTATTTCTTTTCTAAAAAGAAAATAATTACTACAAAATAATGCTCTACATTTTACAGTATTTTTTTTTAAGATTTTATTTAGTTAGTTGACAAAGAAAGACACACAGAGAGAGGGAACACAAGCAAGGACAGTGGGAGAGGTAGAAGCAGGCTTTCCACTGAGCAGAGAGGCAGGCAGAGAACGAGAGAGAGGGAAGCAGGCTCCCTGCTGAGCAGAGAGCCTGATGTGGGGCTCGATCCCAATCTGAAAGCAGATATTTAATGATTGAACCACCTAGGTTCCCCTTTGCAGTACTCTATAATTTACAGAGAATTTCATTTAATCCTCCAAACTCTCCTTGAGAAATAGATAATCTGTATTTCACAGGAATTGAAAGGTAAGATTGACAGTTTATTTTTTTTAATTTTTTATGTTTTAATTTTTTTATTATTATTTTTTTAAAGATTTTATTTATTTATTTGACAGACAGAAATCACAAGCAGGCAGAGAGGCAGGCAGAGAGAGAGGAAGGGAAGCAGACTCCCTGCTGAGCAGAGAGCCCGATGCGGGGCTTGATCCCAGGACCCTGAGATCATGACCTGAGCCGAAGGCAGCGGCTTAACCCACTGAGCCACCCAGGCGCCCCATTTTTATTATTGTTTTTTGAAGTGGGGGGAAGGCTGAGGGAGAAGGAGAGAGAGAATCTTAAGCAGACTCCACGCCAAGTGCAGAGCTCGATGTGGGGCTTGATACTATGACCTTGATCATGACCTGAGCCAAAATTAAGAGTTGGTTTCTTAACCGACTGAGCCACCCTGCACCCCTATTTTTATTTTATTTTATTTTTTAAGATTGACAGTTTCAATGACTTGCCCAATGTCACACAGCTAGAACTGGTTAGAGTTTCACTTATTTGTGGAACATAAAGAATAACATGGAGGACATTAGGAGAAGGGAAAAATGAAGGGGGAGAAATCAGAGTGGGAGACGAACCATTAGAGACCATGGACACTGGGAAACCAACTGAGGGTTTTAGAAGGGAGGATGGTGGGGGATGGGGTGAGCCTGGTGGTGGGTATTAAGGAGGGCACAGATTGCATGGAGCACTGCGTGTTATATGCAATCCATGAATCATGGAGCACTACATCAAAAACTAATGATGTACTATATGGTGACTAACATAACACAATAAAAAAAAAAAAAAGGAATTCAAACCCAGATTTTCTGACTCCCAGCTCATCATTCTGAAGAAGTTGGAAATCAAGATTTGAAAAGTAAATTGGAATTTATCTTGCAGGTAGCTGAAAAAAAAAATCATTGAGGGTCTTTAAGGCAGTAAGTGACTTGAGACAATGATCTTAATGCAGTTTTAATCTGAATCTCTGATTACTAGTGAGGTTGAACATCTTTTCATGTTTATTGCCTGTTTGCCATTTCTTCTTCCCCCAAATTGTTATTCATGTCCTGGAGGAATAGATCATTTTTCTGCTGGATTGGTTGGTCCTTTACTTACTAATTTAAATGATGAGAAAGTGTTCCCAATCTTAATTCTTTATTTTTTGGAAATATCTTCTCCCTTGGGGCGCCTGGGTGGCTCAATCAGTTAAGTGTCAGCCTTTGGCTGGGATCATGATCCCAGAGTCCTGGGATCGAGCCCTACATCAGGCTCCCTCCTTAGTGGGGGTCTGATTCTCCCTCTGCCCTTCCCACTCTCATTCTCTCTCTCTCCCAGATAAATAAATAAAATATTTTAAAAATACATCTTCTCCCAGTTTCTTGCTTAGCTGCCTTTTCTTTATTTTAAAATTTTGTTCATCAGAGAAATGTGCACTGGAGAGTGGAGAAAACGAATGCGTTTGCTACAAGATGAGTCTTAGTTGGCTTTAACCTTGTGTGGTGGGAAGCAGGTGAGATGTGGAGGGGATTTGAAGGCAAATCACATAGTTTGGAAATTCATTGACCAGTCATTTGCTAATTGATTACGTTTATTGGTCACGATGTGCTGAACTGTGTGATAAGCTGAGATTTTGAGGAACTTTTACTTTAATGGAGAAATAAGACGTGTAAAGACATGCAAGTAACATAGTATGCTCAAGGAATTGTAGCGCAAGATAAGCTGTGCCTATCAACATTGCTCCTTATCAAAGGGGCAGGAGGCATTGCTTTTGAGTAAATTGAAAGTAGTTTAAGTAAGAAAAATCTGTAAGTTGAAGGAGAGCAAAGACTGTGGGTCTTTTAGCTCACCATTCTATTCCCAGCAGTCAGCGGAGGGCCCGACCAAGAGTTGGGTGCCCCAACATTTGCTTCATGATTGGATGATATTAGCATGCATGGGCAAAAGCCATTTATAAGAACTTAATACAATATGCTTAGTTCATGACTCCTACACCATCTCTGGGCAGCTCTGAGAAAGTTAGATCAGCATTTCAGACCTGAGCTTGCTTTTCCTCAGCAAGGGAGCACAGCCTTTTCCAGAAGGACACACAGCATGCTCCCTTATCTTACCATTGTAACAGAGCAGTAACCCAGATCTTGGCTTCACATGGGCAAAGCTGGGTTTTTAATCTCCTGTCAGTTACTTACTGGTTGTGTGACTTGATTTGCCTCATCTGTGAAACAAGACTATCAGTGGTGCCTAACCGTACCAGATTATCATAGGATTGAATAAGTGCAGCATGTGAAACATTGAGCCCATAGGAGGGGTTCTGGAAACATTCTCTATGCCTCTGCTCTTGACGTAACACAAAAACAGATGGAAAGTGCGATTGCCTATGGAATTTATGACTTTGTCCATGGTGTCTAACAGGCATATTCTCCATCTTCTTCCTCACAGATTCAGAGACATACTGTGTGTTTCAAGACAAGAAGTACAGAGTGGGAGAGAGATGGCATCCTTACCTGGAACCTTATGGGTTGGTTTACTGTGTCAACTGCATCTGCTCAGAGGTACAGTGTGATACCCAGTTTGCTCCTCAGCATGAAGAGGTCCTTCCAGTGCCTGGATGGCCAGGAATCAGGGGTGGTGAAAGCCTAAAAGAAGTTAGGGAGAAGTAGCTTGTAAGGATAAATAAAGGTCTCCTGACTTTTTCCTCTTGTTGCCGTTTGGCTGGATTTTTTGTGGGATCTCTAGGTATTTGCTATGGACAGATATTTATGGTCTCCTAGCCAAAAGACATGGGCCATGGTGGGAGAAGATAGAATAATAGTTTGATAGCATGAGAAGGGAAATAGAACTCATTGTAATGCCTGGGTTATATGACAAAATCGTTTTTGAAGATCATTTTCAAGGCTGGTCTTTAGAAAAGAGATTAGGACAGATCATATACCAGTTCATTGGGAGAGCGTATTTGATGTTTTCTGGGCCAGTAGTGGTAATTAGGATCGAGGCTGCAGAACATTGGCCTGTACCTGGTGACCATTAGTGTTCTCTTGGCTTGGCCTTGGCTCCTGACTAGATAGTCAGAAGGGTGTTTGGACACTTATTGTCATCTTTGCAATAGGCAAAAGGAAGTGCTCTCATCTTCGTTCCATGGCCTTGATCCAGGAACACAGCTGTGGTCCATCTTTCTGAATAAGCCTCTACCATCTTGTATTAGGCCAGGGTTTTTCAGCCTTTGCTCTATTGACATTCGGGAACAGATTATTCCTTGTTGTGGGAGCTGTCACATACATTGTAGGATCTTTAGCAGCATCCCTGGCCTCTGCCCTCTAGAAACCAATAGCACCTGTCCCAGTTGTGATGACCAAAAATGTCCCAAGACATGGCCAAAGTTGCTTGGGGAGCAAAAGAACCCCTGGTAGAGAACCAATTGGGTAAGGAAGGCTTGTACCAGGCCTTGAGAATAGAGAACTCCCAGCATATGGAAAGAATCTTCATGACCAGCCTCTCACTTGAGACCTTGTAGAAGAATTGTAACTCTTCCTGAGTGCCCAGGTAGTACAGAAGCAGTCACTTGCATGCCAGATTCTTTTGCCAGTTAAGTAAAAAATTGGACTTTTCGAATTTGAAGCATGTGGAAACCTAACTTACAGGCAGTAGGAAGTAATGTTAAAAGGCTACTGGGCTCTGGAGTCAAGGCAGACCATGTTTCTGACCCTGGATCTGCTGCCTTGGAGCCGTGTTACACTGGACAAGTTACCTAAATTCTCTGAGATCTCTTCAGGTTCTTTTTTCTTCAAAATAGGATAATGATACTATGTATTTCATAGGATTGTGGTAAGGTTTAAATTCACTAATGCGTTTCAGTCACCAAAAACTGTGCTTGGTCACAGCCACCATTCAAGAGATACTAACTGCTGTCCGCAGCTTCATCTGTACTATGATTACAGCTATTATTTTTATTTATCTGTTAAGTCTAGAACAGAATTCAGTTTAAGGCATTAAGGAGGCATCAGTGTAGGCCTCAGCCAGAAGGAGTGGTTTCTCTTATACTTGGTGATTTCACTTCAAGATGATACCACTTGGCTCTGAGGAGTGTGACAAAGAAGGAGGCTTTGTGGTATTTCCAAATGCAACACTCTGAAAACATATTCTAGAAACTCCATGAGAAAAGAAAGAGGTTTATGGTAAGGTTATTCAGCCTTGGATAAAAGAAGCCTGTGTCTTTAAATGGCTAGGGCGGGTATTAAATAGAGCATCTGGGGACTGATTAGCTGTCTGGTATGACATGGTTGTGTCAGATTCTTGAGCCAACACATTGGAAATGGAGAGCTAATCCTTGGGGGCTAAGCTTTGCCGTCTGTGGGGCAATGAGAATGTTAATAAGATCCCAGGGTCGACAGCTCCAGTGTTAAGCATCTTCTCTTTCCCCATCCTCTTTGTCACCCTCTTCCCCCACAAAAGCATGATAGATACAAGTCACTCCTGCTTGGAATGAATTATGTATGGAAATGCTAATGCAACGTTGATTTCCAAAGCTTTCCTTTGATCTAGCCATGGTAGAGAGCTGTCAGAGCTAGGAATCTTTTAATTGTAATTTGGGCAGGGACCCAGTCATCCCACCCAGGCATGCTAGGTAATCAGCTCAATTCTAAAGCCTAGCTTGTGCTCAGAAAGCCTACGACAGAAACAGGAAGTGAGGAGAGAAGGCACCCAGCCTGCTGTACCAAGGCGGAGTTATATGGAATCCAGGACCCATGTGCCAGTGATGTGTCCTTGCCCAGGGGTGGCTAGCAGCTCACGGGACCCATTGCTCATTATTCCTTCCCTTCTGTGGCCTTGGGCAGGTGATTCTGTAATTAGACCAGGCTCCTGTGGATGTGTGGCTGGAGCCAGAAATGGTAGAAACACCACAAAGGTGGGCCAGGAAGGGCCTTCCACAGTTGGAGGGAGGCTTTGAAAACTGGAGCAAGAGTGACCCCAGGTTTAGAAAAATATGCCAGTAAGCTATCAACCAACCCAGCAGAGGTGCTAATGATGAGAAAAGGGAAGAAAATGCCGATTTCTTTCAGCTTCTTGGGAATGCATCATTCACTGTCTGAGTAAGTCTCTGCATGACTGTTCCCCAAACTGGCAAGGGTGCAGGTAACTTCTGAAAGAACTTAATTTTTTTTTCATAGTTTGCCTTCTCTTCCAGAATGGGAATGTGCTCTGCAGCCGAGTCAGATGTCCAAGCCTCCATTGCCTTTCCCCCGTGCATATTCCTCATCTGTGCTGCCCGCGCTGCCCAGGTAAACCAGATCACCTCTTTCTTTCCCAGCTGGGGCTCGCCTTCCTCCCTCTTCCCCCAACCCACTCCATCTGCCTAATTCCCCAGAAGGGAAACTTCCAGACAGGAATAACAATAGGACACTTTCAGGCAGCCCACGCTGGCCCCTAAATACTGTTTATAGCCCAAGCGAGGCCCATTCTAGGTTCTAATAAGTTATTGGGTACCCAGTAACAGGTTTTCATTGGGCTTTTAATCATTTGAAGGTGGCTGTCAGTTGGGGGAAGGGCATCGTGGCCCAGAGAGTTTGGGCCATAAACAGCCTCTTCGTACCATGGGCAGTGGGCACCAGGGGAGTTGTAGCATGGCGGCACGTGTCTCAAGCAATTAGTGCTGGGATTGCATAAATCAAAGGAGCTGAACCAGTGAGGTTTATGACAATATAAAGCTGCCTGCCCGCTAAAAAGTCACCTCCTCCAGACTGCACAGTTATTATGTACACATTGTTAAGAGCTAATCTAAGGGGAAGGCGGGCAGAGACTGTTTCACGAGGCTGTTAAGATGTCTACTTTGAGGGTTTGCGGCTAGGGTGTTTGTCTGAGGCAGGGGCTCTCTCAGTGACACTTTGTTCACGTCTGACTGGGCCTGGCTCCCACACCAGAGGCATACAAGCATGGAATGATTAAGAGAATGCCTGTGGGCTGGACAGCAGTCCTAGAAAAAGCTAAGTGACAGCCTCGGGTTCTGGGCATTAGAAGCCTCATAGTCTTGTAAGCTGATCCTGTTTCCCTCTAGGATGGACGTTCTGGAGTAGGAGTCTGTGGGTGGGCTTTATGGGGTCAGTGAACCCTTTAAAATTGTTTTGTTTCTGGTGTAACTATGTATATGTGTAAATTCCTTTAGAGAGAATCCATAGCTTTATTGATATTTGTAAAGGGGGTGTACATGACCCTAAAAACATGAAAAACCACTAGTCTAGGGCATAGGTGGTGCTTTTTTTAAATGATAAGGAACCTTTGGAACTTAGAAGAGAGTAACCAAAAGTGTCCGGGCAGCAATGGTAAGAATGGGGCTAGGAATATGGTTCAATGAAAATTCAGTTAACATTTCAGTTACAGGAATGGAGGTATTTAATGAAGAATCCCCCAAACCATTTTGGTCACTACCTTTGTGAACTATACTTTCCTACCTCAGTATATATACTCTGATGAACATGGGGGAGTCTTTACCAGATGACAAAAGATCATGTCATGTCACACCTTTATCATTTTGAATGTTGGTAATGATAATATATGCTTCAAATGTAAGAGGCTGATGTGGCATAAGATTTAACTGAAAGTTGGCTTCTGGAATAAATCCCCAAATGAGGCTGACTATTATTATATGTGTTTCTTTGCTTTTCTACTTAAACTGGATTACAGAGGAAGGGTTTGGTAGGTGGGAGAGAAATTTCTGGTTTAAAAGGCCAATCTGGAGATTTTTTTCCACTTCTTTACCCCCTGGAAGTCTCCAACAGTGGTCTAATGCCATAGGAATTTATCTAAACTATGTAGACATTGTTGTTCCCTGTGGAGGAAGTTGAGGCATGACCCAGACCCAAAGCACAGAATGGAAGAGTGTAGAGTGCAATACAGCCATCACCTATACCAGCTACAGAAGCAAGTATTGAGAAAAAGAGAAAATATAAGCCAGCAGTTCCTTTGAGTGAAAAATAAAGTGTTAAAGGAATTGAAATCAGAAATAGCAGAAAAGAGAAAATTGTAAGACTTAGAAACCCCATTTTATGGAGTATAAAAATAACCATTCATTTTCTTTTCCTTCTTGTTCTTGAAAGTGACTTCCTTGTGAGTTCATTTTCCTTCTTGTTAACTATAACTTTTGCCAGTTCTTTCTGTGAGCAATGGTACCAAAGTTTCCTAATCCTTATATGCAAAATGTCTTTATTTTGCCCCCATCCTTGAGTGATAATTTGGCTGGGTATAAAATTATAGGGGCATACTTGTTTGCCCTTAGCACTTAGAAGAAACTAACAAATAAGTCTGTGGACTTCCTCCATTTGTGGATAAGAAATCTACTGTTTGATTGTAGTTCCTTTGTAGGTAACTTGTTTTCTCCTTCTTCTAGCTTTTAACTTTTCCTCTTTTTCTTTGGTGCACATGATGAAGTAAATAGATGTGTAATTTATTTTCATTTAGCCTGCTTAGTACATGATTTTTTCAGCCAATGGACTAATTTCTCTTCAGTTTTACTCATTATTTTTCTGAAAACTATATCTTACCCCTCTTTTTTCCTCATTCTTAAAATTGCCTTTGGTATATGTTTTTGCAGCTCATTTAATTTGTCCTCTGTGTCTCTCTTTTTTAAAAGATCTATTTTAGAAAGAGAGAGAAGGAGCATGGCAGGAAGGGGCAGAGAGAGAGGGAGAGAGAAACTTAAGCAGATTCCATGCTGAACATGGAGCCTGATGTGGGGCTTGATCTCCTGACCTGAGCTGAAACCAAGCATCAGATGCTTAGCTGATGGCCACCCAGGCACCTATATCCTGTGTCTCTAAATGCCTCCTTTGTATTTTCCATCTTGGTACACTCCCCGTAATGATATATTACTTTAGTTCTGTCCTCCAATTCATGAATTCTTTCTCAAGCTTTTTCACGCCTCCTATTTAGGCCATCTGTTTTGTTCTGTTTCTTCTTTTATTTTCAATAACTGTATTTCCCCCCACGTTTTTAGATACATTTTTAAATCTCTATATTGATATTTTATAAACCTGTGTTTCTTGGGATCTTCTTATTTTCTTTATTTCTTTAAGGTATTGAATTATTTGTTTAGAGTCCATTTTAGATTGTTTCCATGTCTATATATTTTTCAGGTGTGAATTCTCACTTTTACTGGTTTCTTGAAAGCTTTTCTTAGTTGTTAGTTTCTCCTTCTTTTCTAAAATCTTTGTTTAAAAGCTCTTTGTCTGTGTGTGTATTGGGGGGTTCTCTTGCATATGTCCTTCCTTCTTGGGGGGGAAGTTTGTTCTAGGCCATGTAGGTCACTTAGCTCTTAACCAGGTCATGTATTAGTGTCTCAGATTGGGCTCCCTCTTGCTTGGATGGTCAATTTCTACCTCTGTTTTCTTGTACAGTGTTAGTCCCTGATAATGGTCTTGGACTGGAATTTCAGCTGCAGGTGGGCAGAGTTATGTCAGCCCCTATTTACATGTGAGGAGTGTGGTCCTAGTCCTCACCTTTACATGAGAAGCCACTTGGAGTCCATAGTTCTTGCCTGGCTATCTGTATCCAGTCCCAGGTGCCAGGGGACCACATGGCTTTGGCCCCTGTTTATCTCTTTATTTTTCCTTCTGTGTTTTATTTTTCAAGGAGTTTCTTTTTGTTTCTGAGCCTGATTTTGCAGTTTTAAAGTTGTATTTATTTATTTACTCACTCACCCACTTGTTTATTTACTTATTTTTTTAAATAAAACTGTGAGTTTTCCATTTCTCCCCTCACTCTTCGGTGAGAAAAGAGCAAGGAGTTCTCACCTGGTCTCTCCCTGCCATATTGAACTGGAATGCAGACCAGCTATTCTTTATATTGAAGATAAAACAAGAGTAAACAGGTTGAAGGTTAAACCTTCAACCATAGCAGAGAAGAATGGAGTTTGGTAAAATGATGAACTTTGGGACACAGTGGCTGTTCAATCCTAGTATAAATCCTAGTATATCTATACAGCATATTTCTGTAAGTAAAAAGGTATCCACTCATCTGAGAGTTGTCACAGTTCTGCTTTGAGACTGGGCAATGGCTGTGATGACTCCTCTGTACTCCTTCCACCCCAGTGATTATTAGGCATGAGGAAACTCATGCCTTCAGGGCCACCGGAATGTTTGGTCAAAGGAAGGGGCTCTGATTTTCTGTCTTAACCCAAGGAGAGGCACCATGATGAAAATGTCCTCATTTAAAAATAGGAGATCTATAGCCAAGATGATGAGCAGGTTCTGTATCAAAAAGAGAAAACAGACAAGGAAGCCATATGCCCAAGATGTGGGCTCTAGATACTGTCCTAGAGCAAGGTTGACTTCAGGGAGCATTCACGTGGTTAGAGATGGATTCAGTGGGAGGATCCTGTGGGACATACCTAGAGCTCATCTTCCATTGCAAGAGATAGAGGACCCCCCTCATTTACTTCTGTGTTTCCCCTGGTTTTGTTCTCTAAACTCCCCACTCCAAAAATTTACAAAGTTCCCACTTGTAACTGAGGTTGTCTCCTACAGCTCCTGTTGAACTATGGCAATCAAAGTTTGCAGACTACTTTTCCAGAATTACCAGAGAGAAATCCATACTGATTCCCATTAAGAGAAAATGAAAATTTTTTTCATCAGTACTTCCTCGAGTTTCATGGCAGAAGTCGGGTCTTGGTCCCATATGACAGGGTGCTCTGCTAAGCCCAAAGAGACCGGTGCTCCATGGAGGTTAGATCATTCTTAATGGCAAAGTCAAGACTGCACAGAAGTTAGAAGGGTCACTAAATCCATCCCAGTCTATGAGCAGGATCCTCTAAAGTTGTGATAAGGGGAGATTTATAGGAATGAAATTCCATATCTTTGTTTGGGAAGCGGAGTGAAAGAAGGGTGGAGAAGAGAAAGAACATGACTGCTTTCCTTTTGTTCTTTATATATAATTTTATTAAAAGAAGACTCATAGTGACCAGGAGCTAAATCATGATACTACCTAAGTTGTTTTTTAAGTAGGCTCCACTTCCAGCATGGAGCCCAACATGGGGCTCAAACTCATGACCCCAAGATCAAGACCTGAGCTGAGATCAAGAGTTGGATGCTCAGCCAACTGAGCCAATTAGGTTCCCCTACCTACCTAAGATTTTTTTAATGGCCATTCTTAATGAATTTGCTACTCATAATTTGTAAATTTGGGTTCCTTTGGAGGTATTCCAGCATTCTTGGGTCATTAAAGTGCTGTTATAAAATTGCCAAAATATCTGATTTGGTCTCTTACCAGCAGCCTAATCCACAGCATTCCC